TAAAGTCGTAACATTACGAGAATAAAGTCGTAACATTACGAGAATAAAGTCGTAACATTACGAGAATAAAGTCATAACATTACGAGAATAAAATTGTAATATTACGAGAATAAAGTCCTCAGACAACAACCCGTTTCAGAAAGAAAGCTTTGAGCTCCGCCCAACAGATGATGGCCGCCCAGCTCCACCAATCAGCAACCAGAGTCCACTTTGACATCCTGCCCAGTTTGATGCTGCTGCTAAAAGATTTCCTGATTTGTCAAACCGATGCTAAAGTAGAACTTCACATGATGCTCCACATTCCTCACTTTAGGGGAGAAAGGGCTTCTGGGAAGAGTTCTCATAAAATACAACTTGTTTCTAGTAATTTTACGACTTTATTCTTCTAATTTTACGACTTTATTCTCGTAATTTTACTACTTTATTCTCATAATATTACGACTTTATTCTCATAATAGAATATATATATCTCTAGTCTGGCCCTAATACTGCGTGGGAGAATACAGATGTTTTTCTTATTATCAGACATGGCTCTGAGTACCGTCGTTATAACAGTAAACCTGTATTTACCGTGTGTCGTTGGGTCGCTGCTATTATCAGCTCGGTGTGTTTTTCTTTCTCTTCTTCTCTTTTCTTACAGGCATGAGAGTGAATTTATTCTGCATTTTCTCTTTTATATTCTTTCTGTCTTTCTTCCCATTATTTTTATGGCTTTCCTTTCTCATCTCGCTTCTCATCAAATATATGTTTTGTTTTTCTCAAAGTTTCTAATAAAGATACAGAAAGTGGAAGCTAATGGCAACAGCCATGATGGTAAACTGATTATCCAGCAAGTTAATACTTAGTGCTATATTATTTATTAGCTATGCCCAAAACCAGCAGTAGTACAAGAATTATAGAAACACTGAATTTCTTTTTTTGGATAAAAGGAAAAATCCGCTTTGATGGTATTTTTGTAATTACCGAGTAAAATGAAAGCATAACTTACATGTTCTGTTGGTATGGGCGCAGACAGCAGGCTGACAGCAACAATCACTATGCAGGTGAGAGCCAGGAGGATGAGAGCAAAGTACAGGTAATGGACAGCAGTTAAAACCGAGGGCCGATCATCAGGCTGACCGCAGGACGGGGCAGCATAGCAGAACTCCAGAATCATCCGGACCAGTCCCACAACCAGGCCCACAATCAGACCCCAGAAAGCTCCCTGGGAAACAGATCAACAAACAGAAATACTGCAGGAAAGAACCGAAAGATCTTTATGTTTTCTCTTTTTTGAGTTTTTATGGCACTAATGGCTCGTTTCTTACAGTAGGCTGACAGGAAAGGGGGTATGATAGAGGGGGGGAGACATGCTGGAAAGGACCACAGGCTGGATTTGAACTCGGGTCGGCGGCATTGAGGACTAAAGCCTCCGTACATGAGTCGTGTGTGCTAACCACGGCCCCACCTGCATGCTAACCACGGCCCCACCTGCCCGCCCATCTTTATGTTTTCTCTCTGTTTCCCTGAAGTGTAGAACTATAGGATCATGATGCAGAAAGTTGAAGAGAAGCAGCTGTTTCCAGTCACTGAACCGATGGCTTTGGGTTCAGGAGAAGGACTAATCACCAGTGAACAGAACTAAACCGTTTTCACAGCGCAGTCATTTTTCCACATTTAGTTCTGTTCAAGCCTTATTTTAAATGGTATGAAATTAATCTCTTTTCTCTAAAGACTAAATCGCATCAGATCTCCATCTTTAGGAGGTTTCCTCTGCAGAACATCTCAGCACCATCAGGTTGGTTGGGAGATGTCGAATCCTGATCCACTCCCACAGACTGCCACTCTGGGTCCCTGAGCAAGACCCTTAACCCCACACTGCTTCCCAGGCGCCGCATAATGGCAGCCCACTGCTCCCCAAGAGGAGGGGTTAAATGCAGAGGTAAATTTCTCCAATGTGAGATCAATAAAGTTAAATAATTATTAACGATTAGCTCATAATTAATTTCCAGGACGGTGTGGTTCTGATCCACTCCTGTGAGATCTTGGCTGTGTTGTTTAGGTTCAGCCTGAGGTTCAGGGGTTCTGGATCAGGTCTCCATTCAGGACGTCTCTGTTCATCGCTGCATTTATCTTCCCCTCATCCTGACTGATCTGTTAGTTCCTGCTGTTTAAAATCATTCTGCCACCGCCGTGCTTCACTGTAGGGATGGGACTGTCCTGGTGGGAAGTGAAGCATTGTTTCCTCCAGGCGTTCAACTAAAGTTCAGTCTTTGTCCCCTTAGACCAGAGAACTTTGTTCCTGATGGTCTGAGGTCCTTTTGGTGACCTCCAGATGGTCCACCTTGTTGTCTAATTAAGGATGGGTTTTGGGAGGTCTGCTCCACCTTACAGGCCTGATTGATAGATTGCTGCAGATGTTCTGGAATGTTCTCTTCTCTCCACAGAGGAAAGCTGGAGCTCCAGCTGAAGGGTCTCCTCCCTGACTGACGTCCTTCTCCCTGATGGTTCCGTTCCAACAGCTGATCAGCTCTAGGTGGAGTCCTCTCAGTTCCAACCTTCTTCCAACCAGTGATCCCAGTGATCCCACTGGGATCCTTTAAATTAGCAGAGATCCTGCAGAAAACTATCCTGTCTTTGGGGTCTACAGACGGTTCCTCTGACCTCCGGCGTGCTGTTTGCTCTCTGACATCACTGTCTACTGTGGGACCGTCTGGACGAATCAGCCGAATCTACTAAAGATGGATCCATCAAAACTTTAGGAACATCTGAAGGAGGATCAGTGGAAACAGGAGGACCTTCAGCTCAGCTTTCAGCTTCATAGTTAGGGTGTGAATACTTATTAGCCCCTTCTTTTAATTGCCAAAGAAAAGTGCTTTCAACACATTTCACTTCCCCAAACAGCACCAAGACAGAACAGTCACCAGAGTCAGCTGCTAAATATATATCATTATAAGCTTTAGAAGAGCTTGCTCTGTGCTGTAAAAGGATTTAAAACCAGATTGTAAAACCTCTAAAGTATTTTGTTCTTTCAGTTAAACCATTGGCTGATTATAAACCAGCTTCTTGAGGATTTCTCAAAGGAATTATAGCTCAGAAACAGGCCTATAGTACCGCAGGATCCAAGATAGGTTTCTTAATTAAAGTCTGAACTGCATTTTTTAGGACCTACACCTGAAGACACACTTTTATTCACAAGAGCAACGACTGAAGGAACAACGAAACAATGAAATGATTCCATCCTGCTCAATAAATGATCAGTGTTTTTAATTCAGAGTAATTTTCATGTGAATGTGCTTTACTGGAGGCATCCATGTTTGTCAAAGAACACTACTGCCACCTACTGGTTAGTGACGTCACGGTGCGGTATCGGCTGTTGATCAAGTCCCAGTGCTGTATCTGGTGTTTGTCACAACGCGCTATTATCCAAGTCATCTTGAAAACATTCTTCTTCCAAATGTTGGCTACATATTACGGGTTTTTTCTCTGGCCAGAAGTTCGATGGCAAATCCTCCCTCTTCAAGTTGGCGATCCAACCACGATATCTATTTAACAAACTAAATATTTAGGAAGCAACAAGCTAGCTGACTATTTAGCTAGCTGAAAAACGGGTGCTGCAGCTGAAACTGTTGGAACGTTGGCCGTATAGCAGAGAGTTATTTCCACAACAATCAGTTCTGTTGTAGCAAACAACAGAACTGATTGGCTGACATGCAGCATCGAAATTCAGAAATGTAGAGAATGTAGAGAACATTTTGGGTCAAAATCCAAATCCAGGAAGTTGAGGTATTCACCAGTAAGATCAGCTCAGTGGACAGAAACACCAGGGCTCTGTTTCAAGTAGCAGGTTTTTTAAAAACTCTGTTTTCGAAACTTTAAATCAGGGAAACTCCGAGTTTTCCGTTTTTCTCGTTCTCTGTTTCTGTTGCCATAGTAACATCCTCCCAGACCCGGCCAGCAGCAGGTTTCCTTCAGTAAACTCAGTGTCCTCTGTCTCCGCTCTCCTTACAGCCAATCAGTGTTTTAGTTTCTGATTTAGTCACATTTATGCTGTAGTTTTGCACTTAAATGAAAATGAAATTGTCTAGAGCTGTTTTAAACAAAAATTATTTTTGTATACACTTGTTTATAAAAAATTACAAAATAAAGCTGTCTAAGTCTAAGTCATAAATAAAGTAATTTTCTAGGTCCGTTAGACACATTAGGGTTTAAAAACAAACACTGCATGTCTGTTTGACGAGGATGATCGGCATTAATTCACAATTAAATTAATTGATCAATTAAATATTTATAGGCAGAGGATTCTACAACTCAGTGACAGGATAGGAGATTTATCTGTTTTTGGTTTGTTTAAGGTGAGCAAGATGAAAATAATTTTATTTAGTTATTTTTACAGAACATGAAGAACTACTGAAATTATTTTCAGATTACACATAAATAGGTTCAGCTAAAGGAATAGGAATTATTTAGGGTTAGGATTAGGATTCACTCTGTGATAACAACCTACTGAGCCTACTGGCACAATCTGGAGCCATGTGACGCCACATGGGATGAGAAGCTATTTTATTTCTTGTAACAGAAGCTGGGTTTAACATTAGCAGGATCAGTGATGGTCGGGGCAGTAGGAGCGTTTCTCCAGGTCAATGAATGTCCCAAAGTCATCGATAAAATGTAGGATCGGTCTCTGATTTTAGGAATTGCCGTCGCAGAGTTTGATGTCATGGTTTAAAACCTGCTACTCATCCTCCAACAAGTGCTGGTCCAGACAGCCTTTGGTTAAATCAGACATCGGATGCCATTATTTCTTTGTGTCTGTGAGGAACCTACCTGTTCATTGGCCCGAGGCCAGAAAATGGCCATGATGAAGACAGCAGTAATGGGCGGGGCCAGAAAGCTGGTCACAGACTGGATGTACTCAAAGAGCTTTCCACTGTTGGCTGTCTGGATTACTGGAATCCACACCAGACTGATACACATCAGGACCAGGACGAAAACCCTGAACACACCAGAGAAGAGAGTCTGAAGCAGGTAGAAGAGCTGCTTGGTTGCCTGGAAACGGTTCCTGGAAACGGTTCCTGGAAACGGTTCCTGGAAACGGTTCCTGGAAATGGTTCCTGGAAACGGTTCCTGGAAACGGTTCCTTAAAGGTTTGGACTCATTGTTTAGACGAGATTGTCAGATGTTTACATTGTCAGTTAAAACATAAATATTAATTTAAGTATTTAGTTAGTAAAATAAATATTTAGTTAAAATAATAAACATTTAGTTAAATAATAAATATTTAGATAAAATAATAAATATTTGCTTAGTAAATTAAATATTTAGTTAAAATAATAAATGTTTAGTTTGGAATATAGATTTTTATAAATGAATAAATGACATCGTGGGAAAATGACTTTTAAGCACCTTATTTTTCTCTTAAAACGCTAAATAGTCATAAATATTTCTCCTAATTTTAGCCTGCTGAGCTTTACGAACGGCTCCTATAGATGCAATCTATAAATGTTTAAATGATCTTGTTTCGTGGTTTTAATCAGGCAAATGTGCCACCCACACCCTTCAGTTGTAAATCTCTTGTTTTACTTTTACTCCTCTGCTTCAAAGGTTAATTTTCATTTCCTTAAAGAAAACTTTATTGATAAACTAAAACAGCTGTGTTTGATTTTCTCCATTTCGTTAAGAGAAACGGCTCCCAGGCAGATATTCCATCTGAACCCTCTGCTCCATGACAAACAGCTGCAGGAAATATCTTTGATCATATTTAGGTAATTAGTGCACATTTTGACACTAATAATGTCTGCACATCATCCTCCATCAGAACTCTAGGTTTCACAGTAGGACGGTTTTGTTTCGGAACATTTAAAGAAAAGTTGAGTGTATCTGGACCGGAGCTGTGGTTTCCATCCCTACCTCCCAACAATCATCAGTTCCATCTCTGAAGCTCCTGGTCTTACTCGGTGGTACAGGTCCAGAGTAAAGATGGTGGAGCTGCTGTTGAAAATGGATGTCAGAGATGACATCAGAGCCGCCAGAATCACCGCCAGCATCAAACCACGCAAACCTGGAAAAAAGGGATTCACATGATTGGAGAGCAGTGTTCATTCTGTCAGCTTTTTTAAAATTAGTCTTAGTCACAATGACAAAAATCTATTTTAGTCTTAGTCATATTTGGCCATTGCCTTCCCAATTTAGCTTTAGTCTTTGTCTAAATCTATTTTAGTCATTTTAGACATTTTAGTCAACACTGTACAGAATAAAACTTCACCACACAGCTTCTCTTTTTCTCTATTTTATTTATATAACACTGTGCAGGTTGAGCTTCTTTCAGTCATTAGCTGTGATGATGATGATGATGATGATGATGATGATGATGATGATGATGATGATGATGATGATGATGGAGGCAGAGGTCAGACTCTCCTCAGCAGACTTATAGAAGATCTGCAGCCTCTGAAGGACCTCAGCTTCCTCTAGAAGTCCAGTCTGCTCTGTCCCTTCTTGCAGACGGCTTCCCAGGTGTGTCTCCAGTCCAGGTTGTTGTCCAGGTGAACACCAAGGGATTTCTACTCCTCCTCCACTTCTTCTCCCAGGATGTTAACAGGATTCAACTTGTTCCTGTTTCTTCTGAAATCTCCAATCATCTCCTTGTTTTGTTGACCTTCAGGATCAGATGATTGTTTCCACACCATGCCACAAAGCGCTTCACCAGCTCTCTGTCCTCAGCTTCTGCTCCATCTTTGATGCTCCCAATGACTGCAGAGTCATCCCAGGATTCCTGCAGAGGACAGGACTCTGTCTGGTCCTGGAAGTCAGAGGTGAACAGAGGAAAAAGGAAAGGAGAGAGTACCGTGCCCTGTGGAGCTCCTGTGCTGCTGGATCAGACAGCTGAGCCTTCAGTCTACCAACCTGTTGTCTGTCTGTCAGGTATCAAAGACCATGATTCTCACAGTGCTGTCTGCCTTGTCTAAATGAGAGTGGGTTTGTTGAGGCAGGTGAATGATGACATCATCAACTCCATCTTCACGGCGATAAGCAAACAGCAGAGGGTCCTGATAGCTGCTGGTTTGCTTGCTGAGGTGAACCAACAGAAGGACCTTCATGATGTGGGATGTCAGGATAACTGCTTGTTGCTTCATTTTTTTCTGGTTGAGGTTTTGTGGAAAAATATGAATAAAACAAGAGCAGAGGAAAGATAAAAGATAAAGATTCTTTTGATGATTTACAAAACTTCAGTACTCATGATGCAGGAAAATAATGAAGAAGGCTGTACTGGAGAACCAGCAAAACAAAGAGGGGAAATGCAACTTTAGAGGAGAACACTGTAATTAGTGAAAGTTTTGACTGAGGGAGAAATGTTTAAACGGGGAAACAGTGAAAGACGAAAGGCAAAATCAATCCAATGATATGGGAATAATCACCAACTAGAGTAAACACCAACCTGACTGGAAAACTAGAAAATAACCAAGAAAAATCAACCTGAAAACAGTAGTGAAAAAGGTAAATATAGTAGAGAACAAAGGCTGCGTTCATCCAGCAGCCTGAAGTGACCCAAATCCGATTTTTTTTGCCCATATGCGACTTGTATCTGATCTATTCATGGCAGTCTGAACAACACAGATCCGATTTTTTCCAATGCGACCCAGACCGCTCTGCTATGTGGTCCTGAATCCAATACGAATCTGATCTCTTGAAATGCCACCTGTGTTTGAACGTCCAGGTCGCATTCATCCGACCTGGACATTATTAATACCTGAAAAAGGTCACTATTATGCATTTGCTACACAGAAGCGGCAAGAAAAACAAAAACCATGGCAGATGATGATGCGGAGAGCAGTACATAAGTTTAACTATAATGAAAAGATTGTGTTTTTATGGTTGGAAAGGATTGCTAGATGCGTTCCGGCGCTACCATCCATGTTTGATTCCCAAAAAAAAGAGCGTGCTGGCCTGTGATGTCATCGCGTCCTCTACTGCGCATGCGGGACACTTGCGTTGTATGACTGCAGTTCAAACAGCAGATCACATACAAGTCCATATATTTGGAAATATGATCGGCAACGCAAAAAAATCGGATTTCTCAAAAAACCCCGGAATTGAACATCAAGGCCTGCAGGGTGAACGTAGCCTAACAGAGAAACGTTCATCTAAAGACCTAATCTGAGCAGAGTGTCTGCAGCTCAATGCAGTGAGGAATGCTCTGATCTTTATATTGGAGAAACCAAACAACCTCTCCACAGACGCATGGACCAACACAGGAGAGCGCCCTCCTCTGGACAAGACTCTGCACTACATCTACGCCTGATGGACAAAGGACATTCTTTAGAGGACCAGAATGTTCACATTTTGGACAAAGAAGACGGGTGGCTTGTTAGGGTTAGTGCTTTGTGCTTTGTTGGGCTGCTGGATGAAACCTGGAACTAAACGCTATTTCTGACATTTTGAATTGAAAAATCTTCCTGGATGGAAGAGAAACGTCTTCAAACTTGGAAACAAAGTTCAGTGGATTGTTTTTTTTAAACTTTTTTGGAAGTTCATCAAAAGACTGAAAGGAAACCTAAACCACAGTAATATGTATTGTGAAATGAAAATGATGTTAGACAGATTGAATAATGCATCAGGAAACATCCAGTCTTCCAGGTGTGACTCACCGACAGGCATTAATTCCACCACCAGTTTCGGGTAAGCAATGTTGGAGCAGCCAACCGATGTTCCACAGATCCTCTGACACAGCTCTGGATCCACGCAGCCGATCTCATCTACCAACAGAGAGAGAAACAAATAAACCATCATTAAATCAGTAATGATTGCCATTGATTCTATTTAAAGCCCGTTTCATGTTTAAGTACCAACATTTATGAAGAAAACCATGAAAGTTCAGCAAAAAGAGGCACAAAGAGCTTACCTGGGAACAGCGCTCGGCTTATCATGCCGGGCATTACAATGAAGAACATGGGCAGCAGTTTCAGGTACCCCCCCAAAACGCTGCCTCCTTTAGCATGGGACAAGGACCTGGCTGACAGCGACCTCTGAACGATGACCTGCACATTCAGACACAGTCAGTTTCCTTCATCATAATAATCGATTCATTTTTAAGTTTTATTCCCCTCCCTTGGTTAATCTGTTAAAATGTTGTTAAACTCCTTTATTATTCTTCCAGGACTAGCTATGGGGAATGAACCCTGAATGGCAGGAAAACGGGAGCTGAGGACCCCCAATGATCTGATCTACTCCTCTAAGGCTCCTTCTGGAGACGGCAAACCAGTAAGACCACTAAAGCCAGACTGGAAGGGATCATCAGCCATCACTAAGAGCCAGTGCAGTTATCAGCCGGACCTCCGGACATTCACTGCTAGGAAACATATGTTACCCACAATCCTCTGCATGACAGACCTTTAGGCAAACTCATCTTACAAAGTTGATCAAAAATACATTAAATGTTCTTATGCTTATTCACACTTTCATACTTCAAGGGTTTCTCAATGATATTCAGCCGTTTCCTACGTTTGTCTAACTTTAGAATTAAATAAAATGTAGTATTATAGTATACAGTTTGCAGAAATATGAATATTTACTCATCTATTTATTTGAAAATTGAAAAAAATTATCCAATGTGTTAGAAATGTAAATCTCAGAGCCACCTGATTGAAGAAATGAAATCGAATTAAGTCCCAGCTGCTGACTGCCTAAAGAGAAGGGAGGGGTGACCAATCCTGGGTTCCTTAACACAGATCCAACGTTTGCCTTAAGGAGTTCAAATTTAGGGCTTTATGTGGAAGTTATAGTTTCTACCAGGACAGGAACCAGGATAAGGACTATCGTACAATAATCATTACTACACAGAGGGCCGGATCTATCAAAGGTTTGCGTGTATAAAAACGTGAGCTATTTCACTGCGCACGCTAAAAAAT